CGCGTTCGGAACCCGTTCGGAACCTGTTCGGAACCCGTTCGGAACCCGTTCGGAACCGGTTCGGAACCCATTCGGAACCGGTTCGGGACCCGTTCGGAACCTGTTCGGAACCCTTTCGGAACCTGTCCGGAACCCGTTCCGAACCTCTTCGAAACCTAGTCTTAAGCCTGGCCTTTAAGGTTTGGGAAGGCTTAGGACCAGGTTCCGAACGGGTTCCGAACCGGCTCCGAACGCGTTCCGAACGGGTTCCGAACCGGTTCCGAACCGATTCCGAACGGGTTCCGAACAGGTCCCGAGCCGGTTCCGAACGGGTTCCGAACGGGTTCCGAACGGGTTCCGAACGGTCCCGAACCGGTTTTGAAGGGGTTCGAACGCGTTCCGAACGGGTGCCGAACCGGTTTCGAAGGGGTTCCGACGGGTTCCGAACGGGTTCCGAACGCTTTCCGAACGAGTGCCGAACGAGTCCCGAACCGGTTCCGAACGAGTCCCGAACGGGTTCCGTAGGAGTCCCGAATCCGTTCTGAACGGGTTCCGAACAGGTTCCGAACGGGTTCCGAGTTCCGAATGTCCGAGCAATTGCGGGGCATCCCGGCATCCCGGCTTCCGACACCCAAGCCCCAAAACCTCTTTCCCGCAAAAGAAAAACTAGCCCCACTCCCGCCCACCTTCGGGTGGCCTCTCCCAGCCCCTCAACCCAACCAGCGCTGACAGCACGTTTGTCAATCACATCCGCAGATCGATGACTCAGCTTGCTGCAAACCGGACTTTGGTGATGTGCCGAAGGCAAAGTGTCAAGACATGTCGCAGGAATTGCCGCGCCAAAAACACACGTGAAGCTACAAGTAATTAGTGAGAAAGCTACAAGTTGCCAGGACTGTAACACAATATTATGTGGGTGACCGCGCGCCAAACACGCATAAAATTTTAACGATGAGCATCTTTGATCCGGAAGTTATCAGTCTCGGACAGGCCAGCCTTTTCATTGACGACAGAATGAACCCACTACAATCCAAATTTAGATCTCTTCCAGGACGTGTTTCTCACCCCATAAAAACACCCAACAATCGGTTACAGACCCACTACAATCGAAAATCAGACCCATCCAAGATCATCTTTCCAACCCGAAGAAACGGCCTAAGATGGGATGTGCTGGGGGCCACGGAACCTGTTAAGACGCCAGTCTTAAGCCTTCCCAGGGCTTACCAACAAAGAGGTGGAGAGCACCCGAGAGAACCTTCGATCCGAGATGGGTCCCTTGGCTTTGCGACTGTATACTCCCCGGCACTGTCACAGGATGAAATTATTCAGGCCCTTTCCGACAGACTCCCCAGGCTATTGTGAGATAGGAGCTTTTTCTGGTCCCTGGCACTTCCAAGGCAACCATTTCCATGACTTCAAGAAGAAGCTCCGTCGCTTGGCGAGCGGTTCTTCGTGCGAGGGTCACAACCCATGATGCAGCATCCTTCTGAGAGTTCGCCAAGTGCTCTGCGACCAGCAGAGGAAAGATTGCCCTGGCAGCCCCACAGAGCACTGCCAGCAACCGACGTCCGGAGCCAACGAGGCACGCGCAGTGCAGTGGCAGTTTCAGAAGAAGCAGGCGATGTACCGATTTGTATAGACCTTGGAGTCGAATCCGGCACAAGAACAAAAGGGTGGCATTTGGAAAAGGGGTAGTCCGACGGAGCGCAAGGTCTCAGGTCTCTCGTTAACGAGCAATTTTCGCAGGAAGCCTCGGCCTCTGCCAATTGCTCACCTGCAAGCTCCGCGCAGACCGGACATGCTCTTTGGTGGCTCTTATGCTGTAGGTTGCCAAAACCAGAAAGGGACGAGCACGTCGCCTTAAACCATACAGTCATACAGTCCTTGCGTGAGCCCTAATCCCCTATCCCCTTTTCTTGTGGGCCCAAGCTTTACAGATGCCGACGTTGGACCAAGGATTCCCGAAGTCTTGGACGCAGACCCTCCCTGCCCCGGGGACTAGCTGCTTCCTGAACCGCAAGTCTTCTCGAATGAGAGACACCCATACCAAGAGTGGCATGCTCGCCCAGTGCTTAAAGTTTTTAAACACAAGCTTTCGAGTCCATCCAGATCCAACAGAGCTTGGAGATGCTGGCCCAGCAGCTTGGATGCAACCTGGCCAGGCAGCAAGGAAGCTGCTGCTGGCTTTTGCTGATTTTTGCTGGTAGTGCTTTTGCTCTGTGGTCAAACCCAGACACATCAGGCACCGCACACCCGAAGGGTCAGCGAGCGGTGTGAGCGAGAGGGCCGCAAAAGAGCTCTTGAGCGGAGAGAACCATGCCACACTTCCCAGTGTCTTCCGTGAATCTGAGATGGTCGTGACGAAAGCTGCTTGGCCACAGGCTCCCATTGTCCATTTCTGGATGGCAGCATTTTCCCGGCCACCCGAGTCCCGATCCAAGACACTGTGACACTTGCTTTTGGGCTTGCGACCGGTAGCAATGCTACACTTCCTGCTGCATATAGCCATCACACAGATTTCATCGAAACGCACGCCATCTACTCTTCCAGGTTCTGCCCTCACTGGGTGGATTTACTTTATCTTCCTGGGCGGACTCTTGTGTGACTCGGCAGGAGTATATGCAGTAGTCATTGAATTTGGTCAGTCACTTCATCGAAGTTGCTTGGCTTGCACACGTGCAAGTCTCTTTCCGCACGAGATGCCTACGTAGTGAAAGCCAGCAGCATGCTGCAGCCAAACTGCCGCTGTCTCGGCTTTCAGCCCTTTCAGCTCGAGGCCTTGGAGTTCTTTGAGGGCTTCTTGGTCGAGCACCGTCGAGGAAGCGCGACTCAGTGAGCCGCCGAAAGGCATGCTTAGTGGCTTAGTGTACAAAGCGGTAGAATGCTCTTTAGGGCGGTTCTTCACCTGGAAGCCTGTTACAGAACAGGGCCAGGATTGCGAGCAGCTTGTCAGTCATGCTGCTCGCTGTTTGAGAGTGCGTTTGCAAACACTTGAGTTGGAAATTTCGTGTTCTTGATCGTATGAGACACTTGCTGTCGAAGGTTTTTCCTTACAGCAGACCACCATGCAAATTATGCCTCTTGTGGCGAGCGGTCGAGGCTTGCTTGTTTGCTTGTCGAAGATGGGTGGCCTCGCCCTGGTGTGCAAATGTCCAACTCGGTGGTGATTCACGGGACTTGACCCTCCATGCATCTATTTGTGTTTGTTGAGTACGGGGTTGCTGCGTTCCATATCTGCCGTGCAAATCCGAAGGTAAGAGTGATGGCACGAGCCTGCGGCAGACAGTGCTAGTATTCGTGGATCTCGTGGGTTGACCTAAGCCGAACACAAACCTGAGTCTGAGGCAAAATCCCAAGCACTTGGGGGCGATTCGGAAACCACTCCTTGTGCTTTCCTTGAGTTTTGTGGCCGGAGGCGGAATTTCGGGAGCTTCCACATGGGATGCTCTTGGTGGATCTTCCAGACAACTGAACAAGAAGTTCTCGGGACGTGTTGCCTGCAGAGATACACGAAGAGTCCGAACAGCCACTCTGCTCCACCTGTTCCAAGTCTCCTCAAAAGCTCGCCATGGCTCCGAAGCCCGCTGAGAAGACGGACAGCCCGGGAATCGAGTTGAAGTGAGATGTTTTCAGCGAATTGGCAAGTGCTTTGCATCGCAGGAAACCAAAAAGAAGCCAGCCGGAGCCTTGTTGTGTGCTTTTGTCTTGAATGCAAAGCTTCCGCTGTACCAGTTCACCGGAGACTCAAGATGGATCTTCTTGTCGATTTTCCAAGTATCGAACCTCTGCTATGTGGTGAGGTGTACTCAGTGTTGTGTAACACCTTTGCCCATTGTATGCCAGGACTGAACGTGCGTTGGGTGTGCGCGCAGGCAAACACTGCAGGGGTTGTCTCTTGAAGTGCTCCATTCGCCGAGGTCGCGGAGAAGAAGGCAAAGGCGGAGCCAAAGAAGCCGGAGGCGTCTCACAGACACGCCTGCATGTCCGCACTGCGTCATGCGGAAACGAAGCTGCTGGTAGGAGGAGAAGAAGCGAAAGGCCGAGGAGCCCCCGGCCGAGGAGCCGCCGAAAAAGGAGGCCAAGGCGACCGATGGCACCCGGGAGTTTGCAGTTTGAGAAAGCAAGCTCCTCTTCGAAACCGAAGCCGGTCCTATGCCTTCGTAGCATGACCAAGTTTCGACTTGCACTGTGCCCTCTGCCGGCACTGCAGGATGAGTTCGAGGAGGAAGAGGACCCATGACCTCCTGACTCTCAGAGCGGTGGATACTAAACGGGCCATGCGTGCAATTGAATCCTGAAGATGTAACTTCAACACCAGGACGATGTTGTCGACTCGAAGAAGGCCAAGATAAAGACACTTGGCTAAAAGGTGGACGTGCCCTTTGTTAGCAGATCTGTTGCGAGGGCTACTGACTTTACATACTCATGAATGCAATGGAGATTCTGCTGCAACCCCAGGTCGGACGTGGAATTCTTGACACCAGATCTGACTCTGGATGCGTTGCCGTGCATGGGTAACAAGGCATGGGCACGAGAGAGACACGTTGTTGTCTGCATACACAACAACATGCTTGTATCCAGATGTGGGTTGCGAGGTTCTGATGTCCATCAATGAAGGTGGACTCCAGCGGCATGGCTGCACTGAGAAAATGCAGTGCCACGAGTTTTCATGAAAGTGCTGCGCTCAACAGGTTTTAAAGAATCATACTATGCGACAAGTCTTACAGTAGCCTTGGCACAGACATGACGTGCGACAATCTTCGAAAGGACGAGCTTCCTCTCTCGCTCTCTGTGTTCCTGTCTGCGACTTCGTCTCCCACTCTTTCTGTCTTGTTCTCCGCCCTCCCCCTTGAACTGGTAGTACCGGTCGGCGCATGAACTGCGTGTCGGATACTTGTGGGCAGGTTGTTTGTCCTGGTTGGAACACGGGGAACGTGAGTTGGTTTGGGAAGTTTGGGAACCGCAGCGGTGATGCTCTGTATTACACAGTCTGTGTTTTTTTTTCCAGGGTGAATTCTGCCCGATTCTGCCGTGCATCTTGATCCTTTGCCAAGCCTTCGAAAGAGATACAGAGATGACCCTGAGCCATGAACGTGACGTCATGCCGCGATTCAGGTACATGATCTCAGGTGCGCGCGCTAACGTTGGGTTGAAGTCCGGCCGCCACATGTTCGAGGCTCGACCCTTGGGCCTCAGCTCGGCGATGAAGTCATAGCCTGGCAAAGAAATGTGGATGCATTTCGCGACGCAGTTCAAGATCGTGGAGACCTACCACACGACAGTGGCTTGGTACATAACATGGGGGCGAAGGCGCCCGGAAAGCAGAACTGCATGACACCATGCAGTTTCAGGCACTCCAGGACTTGCTTTGTATCCCGACATGGCATGGCTGAGGAAACCTATAACAGCAGATTGAAGCAGATGAGGCACGGACTGTCATCTGCAGCATTCGTACATTAAGGGTAAGACAAGCAGTGGGAACATCTTTTTGTTTGTTGTCAGCTGTTATTCCTTGCAAACTTCGGCCGATGCTGTTCAGTCATCGACAGGCAACTCGTGCGAGTTGGCTTCTCCACAGCAGGCTCCCCGCTGGTCCTTGGTGAGTCTGATGCCCCGTGGCTGCAATCTGCAGGTTGGGTCGGGGAAGCGCTATCCTCTTGAATAGCGCCGGGCCACAGTGTCGCTTCTGCACGGCCTGGAAACCAAGACCGCAGTGTTCTTCGACAACGAGGGCAACTACTGCACTGGGAAGACTCGAACTCCTCGGGTGGTGCAGAAATTTGCACGTGACCAGGCTCGGAGCTGTCGATGCTCAGTCAAAGCCCTGTTGTGTTAGTCAACTACCATCAGGCAGCTGCGTTGAAGAAAGAGAGATCACAAGCTGCTTGTGCTTGACAGGGCATGGCTGTGGTACTGAACCTGGATCCGAAGAGTCCTCATGCGAACACAGCGCCTTAGACAGCAGAAAGGCTTCGGTGTCCGTGGAGAGGAATAAGGGACCTCTTCCCCAGTCTGCTCCGCCCCAACTGTTGTGTGCCACACTGAGATCAGCCTCTTCACAAATGGCGTCCGTGCCTGCAAGCCGCAGAAGCTTCCGGAGCGCCTGCATTTTGTAAGTTCTTTCAGAGCGTTGCTCCTGCCAGAACAGGCCAGTTTGTCGTACTTGTAGTCACGGTTCATCACGATGCAGAGAGTTTGCAAGAGAGCTAGCTAATTCGATCGTGACCATTTGATTTTGTGTGCTCCTTTGTGTCATGCGTTTGTCAACCACCGCAACCGTGTTTGAGCCACTCTAGGATAGGTCTCGATCACTTGTTCATGGAAATGCGCTTTCGTACGAGAGAGGTCTCGGAATCGAGTCAGTGCCTAGCACATGGAACATACTAGCAATTGGTACGATTTTTTGTAGCAACAGCCCTGCTGTGTGTTCAGCCAAGGAGGGACATGTGAACTCAGTTTCGAGACTGATTCTCAATCGAGTCAGGTTGTTTGAAAACGATCCTTCTATCTCAGATACCAGCCATGCCCTGAAGTCTCTTTGTCAGCACAGCTATAGTCACATGCAGCGGATCACTGTTCTTACGTTTACGAACAAAAGCCTTTCGGCATCTGCTGACATGAGCCATGAATGGGGCGTGCATCCTCCACCTTTGTGTGTCGCTCTCCGGCCCATGCAGTCCGACAAATTAAGCAGCCCGGCAGAAACTCGCGCTGTCTCTGTCAGAAGTACGGCGGGGGAATTATGCACCTATGTGGCTCGCTGGAGGTCTGCAGCGTCATGGGGGGAAGCCCTGCACATCCTCGGTCAGGCACTGTGAATGCTGAAACTGCTTAAACCAGGCTAGTAATGTGACAGGGTGCAGGCTCTTCAGAGCATAACAGGATCTGTCTCCTTCGCCCTGCAAAGGGACCCATTGCCCGGAAACTGTGCCCAGGTGGATGAGCAGCATATCAATGCCTCCCGCCTTGCAAAACCGTGTGGTGTATTTACTTTCTGCATGTTTCTCAAACATATTCTCGAATTTGGAGCGAGGTCATCGTGGTCGGAGCGGCAATTGGAAAATGCATCTCGTAGAGAAAAAGCTTCCTGTTTGTAAGGCAGTACAGCTGGGACGAGGACTAAAACCGAAAATTTGGTCACGTACGCTGCCTCGTAGGTGCAAAGAGCGCAAAGTGGCAATACGCTCTGGTCCTACTGGCGCAGTTGGAGAAGACCCAACTGCAAAGCGACGCCGTAGCCTGCAGCTCCTGTATCAGTGTGCCCTGACCCAGTTCATCCATAGATGGGTTAAAAAAGCTGTAAATTGTGAACACTGGCAGATTGGGGGCATCTTGCTGAGGCGTGCGCAAAGGCGGAACAATGGCAGGTGGCCCTGCAGCTTCTCTCACATGCAGAGTCCTCTCAGGTGGAGGCAGACTCTTGCATGCAGTCAGCAAGTAGGCGGTCAGTCATGTCCCCTCTCGGGATCAAGATTGATTTCATGGTGCAGAAGCCGCCGGTGCAGCAGCTAACAGCTTGACGCTGCAAACTTTACGCTCATGATCTCTGTCCAGTTCGTTGGGGCAAGGGGGCTGTAGCCAAGAGGTCTTTTGATGTTTCTGGACGAAAGTGCTTCACGATGTCCACTTGGGTTGAACGTGGCTGAGCTCAGACACTCCTTGTCACCATCTGGGTTGTGACGCCGGATCTGTCACAAAAAATCCCGGGTGAAGCAGGGTGACAGGTAGATAAAACGGACTACAACGGCCAGAACAAGAAGAACAGTATTTCAATCGTGTCTCCTGCCTGCTGAACTCCAGCCTGTCGCTTCCAGGACTCGGTGCTGTATGGCAGCGCAATGGCTAGCTGCGCCGCTGCACGAATCTGGCACCAAGCGCTTGTGCCTGGGAGCCCTTAGAATACCTTTGTTGATATCACTGGTCGGGAGACTCGTCGGATCGTTGGCTGTTGCCTTCGGGTGGCGCAGCAGCCGAGGCGCTTTTCTCAAAGTTGCAAGCGCGGTCACTGGAGCCCGGGAGCATGACGACGTCCTCAGCCTTCAACGCCGTCATCGGCGCATGTGTCAGCGCGTCCTCTTGGTCTCAGGCCACAGCTCTGATCTCGGAACCTTGGCAGCGAGGGAAGCAGCACTGCACAGCAATGCACAGAAAAACAAAGCATAAAAGCATTCAGAGAATGGCCCAGTGGTTCGACGGTCCACATATAGTCCACATATCCATCTAAAGCGAGAGAGTCTCTCTCTCTCTCTCTCTCTCTCTCTCTCTCTCTCTCTCTGCGACAGGGCGATGGTGCATCTGAGCGTGCCGGTAAGTAGCCGAGTAGATTGCCAGGATCTGCAGAATGGACGGCTCACTGCAGATGTGAGTACCTACAACAACGCAATCAGCGCTCTTGGCAATGCTCCTCAGCTTTTGCCTTGGATTGCATCCCCAGCTACTGCACTTTGCACATTTCGGATTGAGTTGCTCAGCGTTTTTCGTCCAAGTTTCGGGAGCACCTTGCCGTGTGTGTGTGTGTTTGTGTGTGTGTGTGTGTATGTGTGTGTGTGTGTGTTGGCAAGTGGTTATGCAGCTGCATGCTGGTGGTTGCAGGCTCATTTATGGCAGACTGCGGTGCAGATGTTCAGTGACCTTCAGGCGAATTCGAAGCTTTGTTCATGAGGAGAGGGAGAGGGAGAGGGAGAGAGAGTGTGTGTGCAGCATGTTCTGGGAGCTTTGCTTCCGGATCCCTTCTCATGCGGCTCTGGTCAGGGTTATGTCTCAAGTCTCGTCTCGGCCCATTTTCTCTCATCTTTGGTCCACGGCAGGTCATCTCCGTGAGTCCAGATCGATACAGCCATGCGGCAGTGATCGCCGCTTGTGATCGAGCAAGTCACTGGCAACGAGCGTGTGGGCTCCTGGCATCATGGGATCAAAGGTCCGGAGAGAAAGATACCGTGATTTTCAATGCCGCCATCGGTGCATGTGCTACCTGTGAGCAGTGGCAACAGTCTCTGCAACTGTTACTTGGCGATGTTGAAGGTCATGGCGCAAGCACTCGACGAGTGGATAGTGCCGGTGCCAAGCAAATCCAAGGCTTTCAGACATGAGATTCAGCAGGTTGCCGCTGTCCATGGAATCTCAGCTCAGCTGTGTGACGAAGCAAGTTCGGGTTGTGCCTGCGCTTTCCTCGCAATTGCTCTGCTCGAGGCAACCTTCTTCGGGGTGGTTACCGCTTGTGCTGCAGGAGGGCATTGGCAGCATTCCCTGCAGCTGTTGTGCGAGGCGGGAGTAGAGTGCCCGCGGTGGAAAGCGCTTCGTGCAACAGCTGTGAGGTGGAGACGACGAAAGCTGCCGGTAACTTGATGTTGTGGAACCAGGCCGCGCGCGTAGCTTGTATGGCCACAGAGCTTCCTTCCTTGAAGAGGAGATGTGTTGACACAGCAGTGAAGAGTCTCCACGTTTTTCTTCGCATGCTTGACTCCCCTTTGCCGCGTCGTGAGTAGTGCCTGGCCTTCAGTCAGGTCCTCCTGGCCTGCCAACGCGGTGCAGCCTGGAGTTGTGCGCTGGCACTTATGCGCACGCTCGACGAAGCCTATGGTGCAGGTTCGACAGATGCCAGGCTTCGCGAGCTTGGTGCTTGTCCGAGCTAAGTGCCTCAAGCTGAAACGGCATGCCGGGGCCGCGTTGCACATACGCAAGACTCGGGAGGTTGCCACGAGATAGTTTTCGTGAGTGAGTGAGTGAGTGAGTGAGTGAGTGAGTGAGTGAGTGAGTGTGTGTGTGTGTGTGTGGGCAGAGCTGTGCGCCTTCACGTCATGTCAGCCTGTACAGGGCATATGCTGGAGTTCTCAGCAGCTGCGTACGGAGTGGACTTTGGCAGCGCGGCGCATCGCTCTTGGCAGACTGCAGAGGCTTTCGGGTCACCTTGGATCTTACTGCACATTCAGAAAGCATCACTGCATGCCATCGGGCACAGCAGTGGCAGCTCGCTGTCGATATGATGCATGCAGTCCATCAGAATTCACTTCAGTTCGACGTGATGTTGTGCAACACGGCAATCAGCATTTGTGAAACTGGCCGCCGCTGGAGAGACGCGGTGTATGTCTTCGAATCGATGGAGAAGATGTCCTTTGACCTAGACGTGGTGACCATCACGTCTGCCATGAGTGCATGTGAAAGAAGTGGTCAGTGGCAGCTTGCCTTGGCCCTTTTCCAAGAGATCCAGAAAAGACGCCTTGAGCCAAATGGCTTGACCTGCCGAACGCTCATCTCGGCATGTTCTGAGAACACACAATGGGCACTGCGGCTGCTGCAAGATATGGCCAAGCAGGCCATGGAAGGCGTTGTCATTACATTTAATGATGCCATCTCCCAGTTTGGGCAGACTGCGCGCTGGAGGCAAGCTCTGATGTGTTCCGACACCCTGACATTCCATGGTTTGCAGCTCGACGGTGTGACCTACATCTCTCGTACGAGTGCACTTGCAAGAGCCGATCGCTGGCAGGATTGCCTGGAGCAAGTGAAGACACTGACAGACTGTAAGCTGGAGGTAGACTTTGAAACCAAAGCCAGCAACGCGGCTCTCAGCGCGTGTTCTGGACACCTCTGGCCGTACGCGGTGGCTTTGTTTGCGGAGCTGGACCGGCGGCGCCTCTGCAGCGCTAGCTCCTACGCCAGCTTGATGACACTCTGCGAGCACAGTGGCCAGTGGAAGATCTCTCTTTCGCTCCTCTCGGTGCTGGCTGATGCCGAGAGCCCCTGGCATGCAACTATTCCATGGCAGCATTCCTGTGCCCAAGGGTCAAGGATTTCAATGGAAATGTGTCAACTTTTTTCCTCCTCCGCCGCCTCCTCCTCCTGCTGCTGCAGCTCTGCTGTGCCGCTCCTTGGTTGTGGTGGTGGTGCTACTGCTGCCTCTGCTGCTGCAAATAACTATTGTACACCAACCTACTATGCATTTGCTGCTGCTGATTGCCAACGCTGCGACCACCACCTCCACGGCCACCGGCATGTTTGAAACTAATCATCGAAGGGATCTCTACTGAGTCGCTGAATTAACGGTCACGATGTGAATCATAATTCTGTTGTTCTTCGTCTGCATAAAACACAGCAGCACTGCTGCAAGCCCACATGTCGGTGCCAGGAAGGCTTGAGCCCAGGGTCTTGGACGGATGCGATACCGGGGATCTCATGGTCTTGCCCCCGCTTAGATGGTGAGTCATGAACGCCAGGAAGGGACAAAAAATATCTTACAGAAGGGAAGCACGGAGAAGGGCAAGTCTTTAAAAAAGAGACTGCAGCACACGGCATGAAGATGGTTCAAAGGATCTCACGATGTGAGAGCTAACCACGCAGCAGTCGCGGCACGAGTGGGTTCAGCAAATTTTCTTTTAGTGGCCACGACCATGTTCCAGAAAGGTGACTTTGAACGGAAGAAGGTTCTCACGTTCCCAAGTTGCCGTGGAAGTGTCCTGTCGGCTTGCGGATGGTAAGTGTTCCAGCATATCTTCCCCAATCCAGTCCGTGGCTGATAAGCTGGTCGAGATTCACATCGCAGGGCATCGGTTCCGTGACTTTTGCAAGAAGCTCCAGATGGAAATCCGAAATGATGCCCGTCTGGTATGCAGTTGACGCTTCCACTACAGTCAGAAGCATCTACCCGAGAAGCTTTTGCTTGCTTCCTCGCCTACGGTATCTGTGTGAGCAAAGCAATCTTTCCGAACGGTGGGGTCCGGCATCGACGTATTTGGGTAGATCCTTCGGGCAGGGTATCATGTTTTCACCCAGAACCTTAATGTATGATTTGCAAAAAGACTACCACATGTTACACGGCAACAGGTGGCTCTTGCAGGAGCTCAAAGCGATTGATAGAAATTCGACGCATTACAGTTGTGCGGTCCTGACAGGGTACATCGGGATTACAAGGGCTGCCTTTCATATTATCTGGTCCATCGTCGACAACAAGCACATGGTGCGCCCGACATGCCATGTGCACGGCAGAAGGCTGAGTCCGTTCACTATGTCAGTATGTCTTCTTCCTGCATGCGACATTGTTGCAAGCTGGAGAGCTGGGAGCATGACCAATACCAGGGCGCAGTGTTCAAGTCCTTGCAGGACGTGCATCGGTCTTTGGTATACCTCTGGGTGCACAACGCCCTGAAGCTACCCTGCATGGGGTTCCGCTTCATCGAGGCGGCATACGCTGCAAGCATCAAAGGACTTGTTAGAGGCAGCGGCAAAGGGAGTCCCATCGAGACTGCCTTCGAGCCTGTACTCACCTTTGCAGATCAGGATCCTCCAAGCAGCCCAACACAGAACGGCGCTGTGGGGTGCTACATGCAATGCTCACGAGTTCACATGCCGTGTGGTACTTTAGGACTCTAAACCTTTCTTGCTGTTTGATGTTCAAACGTTCAACCAAATCAACCGAGGACAACCGGAGATGCCTGCTTTGTTGCAGGAGTTCATGCAGGCCTAGTCTGCAGGAATGCGCCGATGGCTCAGGTCAGAAGCAGCGGAAAAGGTGGAAGAGTAATACATGGAAGAATGCACCGAACTCAGCTTGCAGGATGAACACGATCATTGGCATTCCTTGGCTCTGACGCTCCAAAACGACTTGGAGGACAAGGACAAAGAGATTGCGAAACTGAATTCTTTCATCCCGGACCCGATTGATGCGACTCATAGGCCTCGCCAGCCGCAGATCACATATTACATGAAGATACAGGATGAGAAGCAAGAACCGAGGCAGGAATTACCCATCCTTACGAAGCAGACTCTCGCCGCAGTCACGATCGACACCCCGCCCAGAGGTCCCAAAGGCAAAACCATAAAGGAAGACCTTGGAGCCTTGCTTTGGCGCAAGCCATGAGATCTTGAAGTATTGTGCTTAAAGATATGGCACGCTGTATGATTTCGGGGTCAGGGTCGGAAAGCACCTGTCGCCAACTTGTACAAGGGGGCGGATGAAGCACGGCTATCCCGCTAATCGTGCTGAAGAAGAAGAGAAGAAAAGGAGTCGTTCAGCACACGGCATGAGGCACTCCATTTACAGGTGTTCAACAGACTCGCATCAAACGAGAGATGCGCACAGTGAGATCGTGTTCAAAGCTGCGCCATGCCACCGTCCAAGTAGGCGAAGGCCGAAAGCAACAGGTTTATTAAACGTCAAATTAGCATGGTTCACCTCTTGCGTCGTAGGTGTGGTTGAATCTGAAATTAGCACGGCGTTGCACAGCATACGTATGGCGTAGCACTTGTTGAAATTGTTGATGGCACTGCTGGTGCTTGTGCTGGTAGCAATGGTGGTGATCGTAGTTGTGGTTCCGGTGCCAGTTCCGGTGTTGGCGGTGGTCGTGGTGGTGATGCTGCTGCTACCTGCTACGTCTGCTGCTGCTACTGCTAGTGCGGGCTATTGGGCGTGTTTGCATTAGTACCGCTTCAAGTTGGCCACATGCCTCCGAGGTCTGACGTGGTTGTCATTGTTGTCGTTCGTTGTTGCCGCATTGTTTGTGTCATCCGTGTCTTTGCGCAGAAGCCTGCAAACTGGGGGGGGTGTGATTGGTGAGAGGGAGGCCGTGGATGCAGTTTTGTGCTTTCCTCAGCCAACCAGGGCAAAAAACTACAGTTCGGTACCAGGTCAGCTGGTTTCCACATCGCTCGACCCAGTTATGTGCTTTGCAGTATGTTCACGAGGCAGCAGCCTCCAGTTTGACCTTGTCGCCCTCAATGCTGCGCTTGGCAATTGCGCTGCTGCACTTGCATGGCAGGTCTGCTGCCTAAACGGGTAGATTCGAAGCCGCCGTGATGCAAGAGTGGCAATGCCTCGGGATTTCTCTCGGAAAGACGCTTTGCTCCTTGTGAAACCTTTCCTCAAAAGCCAGTCTCCTTCCCTTCGTCTGCAGGTGGCACTGGACTTGGTCTACCGGCGCTGCTCGCAGATACCAGGCCGGCCTGGGCTCTCTCAGTTCAACCCCGCCTTACTTGTAAGGGCGCCTCGGCAGGTGATGTGAACACTTTCAACCAGGTGATTCGAAGTTTTGATGGACATTGGGAGATGGTGCTCGCAACGTTGGCAGCGATGGAGGATCGTGCTTTGAACAAGGTGCTCCGACTGAAATTTGCGAAGCTGCCCTGTCTTGGTGGGATGTGGTAGGTCTTCTATAAGGCTTGATGACGGACAGTCGCAGTAAAGCCGTGGCAGGCCAGGCACCAGAAGAGAGGTCTGATCGCATATCACAACACCTTCCATGCACTAACAGGTTTGTGCTTCCCAGCAGCGCCCAAAGTCTTGTGCCGTTTGCAATTGCAGGTCGTGCTGCGCCCCTCACATCCTTTGACCCACTCTGTGGCATAGCGCCGCCATAAAGGTGTGCCTTTTAAGGAGGCCAGAACACTTATTCAAGAGTTAGCCAACGTCCAGGCTAAAGCAAAGCAGACAGATGCCCTTTCTGGCCTAGAAGAGGGAGATTGGACATGCCTTGGATCGAGTTGAGCTTCGCTCGCCGGCAAAGACAACTTTCACACGTGGAGGGTACCCGGTACAATGTCCATCAACAGTAGTGCCAGCAATGACTCGATAGTAGCATGTTCTTTGCAGATTCGGTGATGACGAGGACCATCGCAGCTACGGGCTGGCCATGAGTTCGCTCATCTCTGCCAGCACGTGGATCCTTGGCGAAATCAGTTGGGTCTTACCGGGAGACTGGAGAATCTGGATGTTTTTTTGGTCCCTGGCGCCAGGCCGTGGGCCCTGGAGCTCTTCGGGGAGCTCCGCACCAGGCAGATGCGTCCAGACAAAGGCCAGTTGCCGCAGGTTCGAAGGCTCACCTCATCTCGTCCAGTGCTTGAGGCATCTACGACGCGCTGATCCCCCTGGCCTTGAGGGTGGGTCTGACTGAGTCAGACTGCGACTTGAAGCCCTGAAGGCAGTTTTTCGTCTAGGCCACCGGCAGAATTAGTGATCTGCAGCTTAGAGCAATGCGCTTCCAGATTCTCACCACAAGTTGCAGCGTTGCAGCTTTCAGAAGTCCCCTGATGACAGTGCCCTTAAAGGGCGTGTGGGTCAAAACTTGTGTGCGAACATTGCCACGGAATGCATGGTCAACAGCAGACAACACAGGAGGGTCATGGTGATCCATCTTTTGATTGCAGGAGAACCTGATTGGCAAACCTCTGCCTCAAGCTGAGTGGAAGTCCCGAGCGAACTTGGCTCCCTTCATCGTGAGGGGACAGAGAGTTTCAATGCGCTCGGTTAGCATGAGTGCATGAACAGACTTTTGTGCATCCGATATGCCCAGGTTCCCTCACATCAGCTACCGCCACATGATGCTCGGCGTCAATGTCCTTGCCACATAAGCGTGTTTGTTTTTAGAGTCGAGGGGTGCGTCTGCGGCTCTTTTGAGTCTTGGGAGCCACGCTGCCTCTGCCATGGAATGCTGTCAGATGACCTGTGTCCTTCAGCTCAGGAGCGTCATGGTGAACATGGGCAAGAAGCCGGCCTGTAGCCAAGAGGCTGAACGCAGCCTTTCATCTCTAACTTTCTGTATGCCACCACTTTCTACAGACTTCGCACCCACTCCTTCGCGCCTGCTAAGTTCACGAAGATGCCCTTCGTCTGCCGAATGGTCGCTGATGCTGCGTAACCTGCCTGCAGGTCCAGGCTGTTGTATTGTGAATGCTTCTCGTCGTCCGCTTCGGCCCGGCCAAGGGCGGGTAACAAGTGATCCCTGTTAAAACCTCTTTGCCGAGGCGAACTGACATAAGCTTCCTCCCTCGAGTTTGCCCGACGGAGTGATTGCTGACAGATGCTTCTTCAGGCTTTTTGTTCTTGCTTATCTATATTTCATGTGACCGACTGTGGATGCTTCCTTGTAAACACTGTTTTGTTGCTGTAGCGCATGGGTGTGGTGTGGTGGGCGGTCCAAACCGTGCCTCGACCTATCTCCGTCGGGTTCCAGGCCTCAGTCTTCCTGGTTTCTCGGCGTGGGGTAGAACGAACTCCAAACGAGCAAGTGACTTGCGGATTCCAGCTGCAAGCAATCCTTGGCTAGAAGCAGATCGCATCGAGGGTTTGCGAATCGGTCTGAAACAAGCAGAGCCAGCTTGTTAGTAAGTGCGAAGTTGCGCACGAAGGAATTTGCAGAGCGTTACGGCTTCCTGACGGTGACTCAAACAAAGCCTACGGATCATGAAAGTGCTCAGGATGTCGTTTCGTTGTTATGCACCTCGTCGCGTGGTTGGGACATGCAACCAGCTTTCTCGCTTGCACTACTCATGCCCTTCCTGCATCGCTGAGGGCATCCGACAGCAAGGTGGAGACCCCTCCAAAGGCATGTCTCGCAACTGCGCACATACCTTTCCAGAAGACCACATGCAAGAGACAAGAGCAGTCTAAGGAGTTGTTCTTTGTTGGTAGCAAGAGTGCAGGACAGACATGTCTGGCCGATGAAATGCAGGATGGCAAGTGTGAAGTTGTCATGCCCGTGGCCTTTCCAGACGAAGGCCCGCGGTCTCTGGGGCTTCGGGGGAAGTTTGGGGTCCATCCGAAGCAGATGCAATGCCGGTCCGCAAGTACCGTTCTGTTGAGGAAGGGAGGGGCAAGACGTTGTCAGGGGAGAAGCAGGCTTTTGGGCGCTTTGGGAAGCTGTTGCGACCCCACTTGCCTTACCGCAGATGTCGACATCTGAAGACTAAGACTGGTGGAGCACGGGTGCCAGAGCAAATCTGGGGTCACGCCCTTTCAGTAAACCTCGCAGCATATGCCACACCTTGCATGGGACAACGCCTCCGTTGCACCGTGCATGGAATTCCAGTGCCTACAGCACCAAGATGCACCAAGTGACTACAGGACCCCTATAGATGTCAAGGCCCTCTGGCTTCATGCTGAAAGGCACTTTCGACTGGCTGGACAGCTTCCTGGAAGAGAAGCCTTCCTACACGGAGCTCAGTGACAGGCAGCATGCCAGAATGCAGATCCAGCTTGCAGTTGTTGCGGGATTTCCGGCAACTTCGCAGGCGGATCCAGGAGTGGGCGGTGACTTCCGGCCTTCCGCGGCCAAAGGTGGGCCCACAGGCACAGCATCGCATCAGCGTGTGTCCTGGGCAGTGATCAGATGTGCGGCCACGAGTTAATCTGTGCACAATCCCGTGTCATCATACTGAATCAATGTTGTGCCCCCTTGGACATGATTTCCAAATCATTTCAGTTGTGAGTCTATGTGCGGCAGCAAGACTTTGCACGAGGCGTCCAATGACAAGCCATACTACATGTATGGCCTGCCGAGCCTGGACGACATGAGCACGCAGAAGGCAGTCTGATGCAAATCGCGGGTGCGTTAATCCATAAACATGACAGTCGCGTGTGGCTCTGTGTGCCTGGAGCGGCAGCACGCCCTCAGACCGTAATTATGCCACACGGGACTTGGGTGGGTGGGGAGGTGATCCTAACAGGTACTGTACCGGTATGGAGCTGGTTGTCCTGGTGACCATGCAGCCGGTTCTTTCCGTCGTCAGTGCCGGTTGGCTCTCGTCACGATTATGGAAATCTCCGGATTGTCGGCTTAGTGCCTCAGCAAGAACCACCAGGTGTTAGCACCAGATACGATGCAAGGTTGTGGTGTGCTTATGCAGGTGGTGTCTATGTTGGCGCCCATGCAGCCCCGCAATTACGTCGTTATGGAGGCCAGCGTCGGCTTGGAGTTATCATTGTCATTGACTTATCAGATTTTGAGCAGTATTGCAGGATCCAACAGGCGAGATTCATGCTTCTAAGGTTGAAGGCTTCGGATCAGCAAGAGTAACAGCAAAATCAGCACGCAAAAATGATACATTCAGCTCTTGGTTGAGTGAGTGCAGGGACCCTTGCAAGTCAGGCACGACGTGCACCAAAACATGCTCCATCAAACGAAATGCAGATTCGGCGCTCAAGCGATGTGCTGCCGGCAGGTCAAGTCCAACCTCATCAAAGAGGAGATGGGTGCCATGCAGTCAGACTCTTCCGTATTGCCAAAGCAGTGTACATTTTTCTGTGCTCGAACTTCTGTTGGGAATTCCGTCTCAGCAAGTTTTCTCCATGCCCTCAGCAGGAGCGCGCGCAGGTCTTGAAGCGCTTCCCGTCGACACACTTCAAGAAGGCCGCAGCCTAGGACTTCGCTATGCCTTGTGAGAGAGTGCAGTCAACCGTAAGCTTCCCTTCAGTTCTCGTGCTGTATGCCGCGTGGGTGCATGGTAATGTTCATTCCGCAGGCTGATACAGTATCCAAACGGAAGCCTGCCAAGGTGGCCTACGTTGTGATGGGGGAGCCTGGCCAGGCAAGGGAAGGGACGGGAGTGAATGTCGCGAAGGAAGCGCTGAGATTTCCAGGCTTCGTTCGGGTATCATGAATGTACTCATCAGGACTACAAGGCCAGAGTCCGCAACAAAATCCTGAAGATCAAGCAGGACAAGGCTGACTCTACCTGGAGAATCAAGAAGGCAGAGATGGGCAACTTACGTCTGTAGAAGTGTGGTAGACCAGAGACTCTTGGCCCTCGACCTGCGCTGGCCATGCTCATCCATTGCTCCCAAGCTGGCCATCAAAGGGGTGTCTCTATCCCTATCCACCCCCAAGCTGTCAGGCGCAGCAAGAGCAGAAGAAGAGAATGATCCAGCGACAGAAGGACCTGGAAGCGAAGAAGAAGGAGGTCTTCGGATTTTGAACAATGAGTCAAAGATCAGTTCGAGCAGTGTCAAAGCAACATGGCGCGGGCTGGCACTGGGTTCTGGAGCCAGGCAGAAGATGCGAAGAAGAAGCTGGAAGAGGAGGCTAACAAAACCGAGCAGGACTGAGGGCTCTGTCGAACCCTAGTTGTACCATCAAGCTGGTTCAGCAGCCTTCACACAAAGAAAAGAAAGGACTTTCCAGGGTGCAAACTCACGTCGTTTCTGTGAACAGCTCTTGAAGGAGGAGGGTGCTGAGAAAAAGGCGGAGGACACCGAAGCAGCGGCTGAGGAGCCCAAGCCGGATGAGGAGATGAAGAAGGCCACACAAGATTACCTCAAAAACCAGTCCTCACCCCGGCCTTATGTCATTTCCTGCACCGCACAAGGAGGACGAACCAGCACCGGAGGAGGAGGAAGAGCCGCTGGGACTACTGTTTTTAACATCGACCAACCAGGCTCTGTATGAAATGAGAGTCAAAGATACTCTTGAAAGTCAGGGCTGGTCTCGCTCGAAGTTTTTGTGTCAACCTGCTGGACTGAGTTTGGGAGATGAGCCACCAAAGGCCTGGCACCTCAGGGCCTCGGGGTGTCTTTTCTGGATCCGCCCTTGCGGCCTGTCAGGTGGAGCTCACGGAAGAGGAGGAGCGCCGACTGGGGCATCAGTCTCCGAGCCGGTCATCCAGCAAACAATCATGAGATGCTGATCAGGGCACTCCACCTTTCACCGGACTGTCGATTCAATTCCAGAGTGAAGTACGCTGGAGTCCAGCTGGAGGTTACCAGGCACTGATCGTTTGTTTCGCTTGTGCACGAGATCTTCGGGCAGGAGAACTTGAGTTTCCTTCCGAAGGGGGCTGTCCCCGACTTGACTCCGTCCGTTTTGAGCAAGGCCTGGCAGCATAAATTCTGGCGGGAACGGCTCCGTCCAGCAGTTCTAGTATTGACAAGACTGGCTCAGACATGCTGTGACGGATAGGTGGTGCTGGTGACTGACCAGTTTTCCTGCTGCAGAGCTGAGTTCGAGCGACAACAGGCGTTTGCCAACTTCACCATCCCAGAAAAGGACGAGGGCTTCGATGAGATCAAGTTCATATGGCAAGACGAAGCACAGAGCTCCTCCGAAGCACCAAATCATGCTTACGGCACGCTTGCTGGCGTGACGGAGTGCGCACGCACGCACGCACGCACGCGCACGCACGCGCACGCACGCACACGCACACGCGCGCG